ATGACTTATCATGGCTTTGCTGTTCTTAAGAAGATTTCTTAGATATTTCCTACATATTCCTATGTAAAACTTTGACCCCTAGCCTGTTGTGGTCCCGTCCTACCCTTGAGGGGCATATGATATGAACAAACTTGAATCTAGTACACTTTGTAATGAAGCTCTCACATAAGTTTCAACTTTTCTGGCCAAGTGGTTCTTGAGAAGATTTTTTAAAAAATGGCACCAAATTTTCATGAATTCTTAACTATCTCTCCTTGAAAGAAAGCATGGCACTTCTTCTGAAAAAACTTGAATACCCTTTACCCAAGGATGCTTTGTGGCAAGTTTGGTTGAAATTGGTCCAGTGGTTCTGGAGAATAAGTCGAAAATGTGAAAAGTTTACAGACACCAGACGACAAACACTGGGTCGCCAGCATGGCCTAGTGGTTAGAGTGCTTGCTCCAGAGTATGCTCCACAGTATAAGGGTCACGGGTTCAAATCCACTGCGGGATGTGGAGACCAGTCCTTCGGATGAGACCATATAAACCGAGGTCCCGTGTCACAGTAGGTGTTGGCACGAAAAAGATCCCTCCATGCTCAATGGCCCTGAGTGCCTAGTATAGGTATAAATTTGCAGCCCTCCATCAGCAAGTGGTGGCTTCTCAATATGAGTGAGAAATTCTCAAGAGGGATGTTAAACAACAAACAAACACCAAACACTCTTAATTAGATCAGAAAAGCTCACTTGATCCTTCAGCTCAGGTGAGCTACAAAGGAGTGAAGACCCACTCATATGAAAAAATTGTGTTAGAGTATGAAGAAATGATCAGCATTTTTGCCCTCTATGGTATGTGTTTGCTACTTCTAGACAAATAATTACAATCTTTGTGAGATTTTCTGTAAATTTTGGAGATTTTACATATAGTATATGTTAATGTTTGATGAAATATCAAGGAGAATTTTGTTATAATTGAGATTTAATTTTTCACCTTCGTATTTGTCACACCATCGTCATTTTGCTCGCTCATCTTCTTAAATTGCATTTTATGTTTTATGAATGCTGAACTCTGCTCCACCTAGCCTATTAAAACATCTAAATATTTATTAGCATGTATTTTAGAGTGAAAACTTTAAAATTGCAACCATCTTTTATCTTAGTAAGACAGACATTCTACACTGTGGTTGTTGATCGAAATACGAAAAAAAAAATTAATTAAAATATTTCATACAATAGCAAATTGATTTTAATAATTTTATACCAAATTCATTTTGAAAACAAGATCTGGGGAATGGTCATCTAGAAGTTTGAGGGTGTTCATCCCTTGATGCATCATCCATGCAAGTTAGGTTCAGATAGGCCTTATAGTTTCTTGGTAATGGACCTGCTAAATAAACTTTAACCTAATTACTCATCTGGAAAATGTAGGTCAAATTCAGCATCTGAAGCAACTCTGGTAGTGTGCATCAATAAATGTATCTTCAGTGCAAAGTTGGTTAGCATAGGGCTTAAAGTCACTTTAGAAAGAAACTGCTCCAAAAACTTTAACCTAGTCGCTCATCTGGTAGTGTGCATCAATAAATGTATCATCCATGCAAGTTTTGTCAATATAGATCTTAAAATTAGTGTTACTTGGAAATGAGACCTGCTTTAAAAACTTAAGCCTGCTCCAAAAACATTAACCTTGTCATTCTTCAGCTGAAATTGCAGCATCTGAAACTTGACTGGTACAATGAAATATACTACAAGCATCTTCCCTGCATCTCTGATCAATATACGGCATAGAGGTACTTGAAAAGAAATCTGCTCCAAAAACTTTAACTTGGGATGCCTACGCCATAATAATACATAAGCCTCAGAACTGAGAGAACTTGAGAAGTGTTACTGGCTGACTTGATATTAGGCTTACATATTACTTGGGAGAATGGCTTTTGTAGAATACCTGGTTTACTGATCTCGAGACCTTTGAACTTTGACCTACTTTCCAAAATACACCAGTGCTGATATAAACTTTGATCCTTTATTGGGCTCCCAGTCTATCCCTGGGGGTCATGATTTGAGCAAACTTTAATCTGCATTATATAAGGATACTTGCAAACAAGATGTAAGGTTATCTTCCTAACAAACACTTGCTAGGAAGGTTAAGGTTATAGGTTATCTTCCTAGCAAATACTTGTCCATATAAAAGAGATCTAAAATTATCCTTTACCTCATTACTTTATATCCTATCTTCACATTAGATGAATGATCCCTTATTGTAGCCCTACAATCCCCATGGGCCACTTATCATGGCCCTGCTTTTCAGTTTGAGAGAAGATTTTTCTGACATATTCCTGAATAAAGCTTTTATTCTTCAAGAATATTGCCACTCCAACTCTATCCTGGAGATATATTCAAACTGCCCTACTTGAGGATGCTTGCATATTATTTAATATCACTTATAGTCCTGATGTTAATAATGTCTCGGTTTAAAAGATGTGTGAAAGTTGGTCAATATATGGGGTCTCACTTGCTCAGTGGTTAGAGCCACGGTACATGTATGCCAAAGACCCTGGGTTGAGTCCCTCTTGAAACTTGATTTTTCACCACCTGTTACATTTGGCACCCAATATGATAAGAATATTTAAAAAAAAAAATCCTGAATTTTCCTGTATATTCCTCTATGAGATCTTTCATATGCACCTACCATCCTGGGCATGATCTGAACAGAGTTGAATCCATACTACTGGTAGTGGTACCTGATGATGTTTGCAAATCAGTATGACTAACTGTTGCTCTGCTATTTCTTGATATATTTTTTTCTTAAATATGTAACAGGAAAGGAGAAAAATCTGACAGACCAGACAGGGATTCAAACCCGGGCCCCCTGAATCTCCAGTCAGAAGTTTTACCAACTGAGCTATCGAACCCACCTGACCTCCACAAATATTTCTACTATTGAATTAAAATAAAAATATTCTTTTGGATGTTTTCAACAGTTTAAATTTTTTCAAGGTAAGGGGCTGACATAGGGCTGGTGATTCATAACCAGTTTCTTTTGTGCTAAGCAGATGAAGATCATAGAGAATCCCTATGGAAGGGACATAGATCATCAGAGGTCTATTACTTCCAACTTTCAGTATACTGGTACTCATTTTCAGTTGGGTGAACTGAGACAAATAAGACATAAGAAGCTTTAATTAATCAAGATGTTCAATTCCTAATTGGACAAAATTCTCTATCTTTAAATATCGATCTGATATAAAATACTCTTGCATTCATCTATAGTAGGGATTGATATGAGGAGAGAATTTTCAAAAATGTTACTACCTCATAAAGATAAACTCATTTTAATCAATATACCCCTGTAATCTTAAATACAGGTACTAAGAATACAAACAAATGTTGTAGTGAAAAAAAAGTAATTTAATTATTAAATTAGGAATAACACTACAGTTAAACTACTGGATAATGACTCCCATCATCAGTTTGATTAAGTGCATCAGATTTAACAATTTATGGGAGAAGAGACTGCATCGAACCATTTAATTATTAACATTTTACATTTTCAGGGAAAATTTATTTATTGTATCTGTATTCTTTTTGTGCCCTTTCTTTTACTTTTTTTCCCTGCTTTTGATTTCTACTTTTAAGACATTGGTTGTAATAAATTATCATCTTAAGCACCATGTTTCTAACAGAAATTTTACAATCAAAATGTCGCTTTGTTAAATTAAGCTGTTTTAAATAAACAATATTGGTCTGGATATCAAATGTTCATCAAATCCATTATTCATAGTATGTAGTCTTGACATATAACTTCAGAATGAAAAGGAGGTCATCCATGAATCACAATAAAATGATGTAATCTATTTTGCTTTAAGTGTAGCATAAAATAGCTACAAAGCACTCGAGTTGTCTGAGAAGGTGGTAAATTGTCCAAACAGTGGCCAAGTTCTTTGAATCAAAGGTGATTGTCAATGTGAATTGTTCTACAGGAGAGCTGTCTTAGGGGTGACTTGTCCAGCATTGTAGTGCACGTGCAAGCTGATTTTACAACATATTATCTGGTTATATATTTCCTTAGCTTATATATTCAATGTGGACCCTGAGGTTCATAAACTTCAGACTGAAGTTTAATAATTGACTGTAAAGAAGGTTAAACTCCCCATCCCCACCCTAACAATAATTCACTGACATTGTATCTACTTATTTAGTTTAATGAATGTCTCCAATGCCTACATCATAACTGAACAAAGCCAGATATCTATAGACATGATGACCATACTTAGAAATGTAAAATGAATTCAGTCAAAACACATATTATCAACTTACATACATAACTTTGATGGATAGTTATTATTATACTTGTACAAAGTGGTCATCTAATGATTCATCATCAGTTATCATACATGTAGATACTGAGTTGGGATATATTAATGAAAATTAGTCGAAGGGAATCCTTCTATAACCACAAAATATGATGAAAAACTGCTTTAAATTCATAATTAATTGCAGAGAATTTTAATTTAATAAACACTTAAGCACTTATTTGGAAAAAATCACCAGTAGTCCTAAATTATATGAAAAAAGTCAGTGCTTTTTAGTGTTATAAACACAATAGAGGAAATTCGCGTCACAACTTTGTTTCGAATTAGCATTAGACTTGTGTGATCAAGATTTAAATTTATTCGTGCTTACAATGAACTTATCGCTAATAAAATAAGATAATTATTCTTATTTTATCTTTTAAAACACTGTCTTACTTACAATAAATCGACTTTACAAATCATAATACATGCCGATTTGTATGTAGCTAATCCACCTAAAATTAAAAATAAGAAATAAGTTTTAAAAATAACACCAAAAGGTCTTGACCTACAATACATGGTTAAAAATAAAACACATTTCATTGGCTCCCTTCCTGTGAATATATAACTTGCTATGAATACTAATAGCAGGAGCAGGACTAAAGCACCAAAGGGCAATAACTGTAACTTACTCCAAATCAAAAAAAAAGAAATATAATGAAAGATAACTCTTACTGTCTGTATTTATAGTCTTTTTCAAAATGTTGAGTAACAGTGATCCAGTTTGGTGGTGTCTAAAATAAAATAAATAAGAGATGATTAATTATATCACCTTTTACATTCAAAAAGGGAAAAAAATTTTCCTGAAATGAAGAAATATGGTAAATGAAAGGTGTTAAATGAGATGTAAATGCTATAAAAAATTACCTTTTATAAATAGGTTTCCTTCTTGTATGTCAATATTAATCTCCCTCTCTGTTAACTCAAACTCACTGCCATTCTTCCTTTCTTTATCATCCCAGTACACAACCTAAAATATAATTTGAACAATTATAATCCCATTCTTATCAGCTCTTTTGTTTATTAAACAAGTACACAATCTAAAATATCATTTATAAAACTATATTCCTGTTCTTATTAGCCATAAATAAGTGATGAAATATTTGAAATTAACTTGTATGGCTGATACAATTATAAATTTTATAACTGAAATACATGTATATATAAACATAAATTTCAATTGAACATTTAGGCAATACACCTTACACCAAAAACATTAATATAAACAATTAACATTTAAAAACATGCACAAGACATAAATATACTACCATTAAAAATTAGTGATGAATGCATCATGATGGAGAACCAAAAAGATGACTGATGTCTACTCAAATTGATGAATGAAATGATGAAATTATATATTTACTGGGATGATTTTTTTCTTAACAAAAAGTGTGTTACATTAAATAACACACTGGTCTGGATATGTGTTAAATTATTATTATACCTCATTATTAAATGTATAACATGATTGTTTTACCCAAAAAAGTGATAGGCTAATATACTTTGTATCTCACGCAACATCCACCAAAAACTCAAAATTTGCAAGGTACGTACAACATGCCACCATTTTGCATTTTTCTGTTTAATACATCGCTTTGACTTTCTGCACATATTTTAAAGAAAATGAAATCTTGTCACCTTTAACAACTTCCAATAACTTCGTTATATCCATTTTCACACTCCAAATAAATTATTCTAGATACAAGCTGTTCTCTCCTTTAAAATTTTTAAGTTACTTCTTAAGTATGTTATTAATTATAATACCAAAAGTATACTTTAATAAATTATGTCATATGCCACTATTGTCAGGTACCGCTAATAGATTTTTTCTTAAAATCTGGATTTTCTTTGAAATAAAACTTTTCATTCTTAAGTCACCTAAATCACTCTATATTTCTATCTGTTTTCGTCCGTTGTCTTGCATCTAGTCTGTGAACATTTGAATATCTTCAACTTCTTCTCTAGAACAACAGAACCAATATCGACCAATTTTGGAAAATAGCATGTATGGGTAAAGGGGAACAAAATTGTGAATTTCATGGTCCCTGTCCCCCAGGAGCCTGGGACCAAAACCATCAAAATTAATGCAATTTTAAAAAAAATCTTCTTCTTTACGTTTGGACAATAAGCAGTCAAACTTTCGGCACGATTGTATTAATTACTGAGCCCTTTATCAAAATTCATGGCCCCAGGGTCAGGGATTTTGTAGTAAGGGTGGAGCTGTAGGTACTCATCATATACTGAAAATGCATTATTTCTTTGAAAATCTTCTTCTCTGCCCTGGGTTGTATTTTACTCTTTCTTCTATGGATCCTTTACATTGTTGTATTGTTCTCAGGTGACAATTAAGGCCCTTGGGCCTCTTGTAAATTTATTTAGAGGATGTTTTATAAAATTTGTTATGATATTAAGTGCCATGCACAATTAATGCATTCTGTGAAACAGTGTAAAAATCTCATATTCAATTACTTTGTAAACTCCATTTTCAAAACTCCTTATCTGGCCCTCCCAATCTTGGTTTTCGCCACTCTCTATAGTCCAGGTATGCACAATTTCTTTACCTACTAAGTCATCTGGATGGAATCTGGTTTCTTGCGCATTTCTTCTCAATTCTATTAATTTTAAAAGATTATCCAGTAATTTGTTATGATCAAAGACCTTTCCTTTTGAAGAAAACTGCAGCAACTCCTTCTGGTTTTTTTCAATTTTAAAAACTTTTTTGTAAATGTTGATTTGTTTCTTTAATGTCTCTACTTTCTCCTTTTTTGTCTTCAGCTTCTCTATTTCTTCTCTAATCTTCCCTTCACTCTCCCAAAGCCCAACTTTTCTCATGTCCTCTATTGCTCTATCTAACTCAGTTGATTTTTTTTCCTTCTTCCTTCTAGCTTCTTTTTCTTTTTCTTCTAAAATCTTTGTTTGTTTTCTAAAAAGTTCTTCATTTTTCTCTCTGTCTTTTAGCATAAAAGTTCTATTTTCTGAACGAGCCTGATCTATTATCTCTTGTTGTTCACTTATATCCTTCTTCTTTAACCACTCTTCTGTTCTGTTATTACAATATAAAATGCTACTTTCGATGGAATTTAATGATGATGTGGAGGATGCTTTTAATTTAAAATCTAATTGTCCCATGAGTCTTTCCAGGCAAATGTTATTTGTATCACATGAATTACACTCTTTTAATTCATTCCCACTGATGTTAAAATATTTCCCTCCACTTAAAAATTCACTAAATAGTTTACTGGCTTTCCTTTTTAAAACATTACAAAGACGCTTTATAAAAACACATGTAAGATTGTCATTCAGTGAAGTTTTCAATAAAAATTCAAAAACCTCGTCATAAAAATATGGACCATAAAAAAGTGAAACTTCATTGTTCAAAGCTAAAATTGGATTTTCAATAAACAAATCTAAAACATATAAAAGTCTCTGAAACACAGAACCCATATCTAAATTTCCAACTTCTGTTGCTTTTAAAAAATAAGGTCCTGTGATAATTTTGCATAAAATGCCAAGTGATCTTAAAAGAGTTAAAAATGTTTTGTTCTGCAAACATAATAAAATAAAATTCTGATTAAAAGTGTAAGAAGCTTTCAAAGAATAAAAATACTGTAATACAAGTTTGTGCATAAAAAAAGTACCTGCAGCATTATAAAACATAACATTAAAACGATTGCCTCTAAACTTTACAAAGGGAATGTCTGAAACACTATGATTTTTCATATAAACTTGTATATCATTGGGATCACCAGTCCCATCTTTAAAAAAAAATTTCGATACAGATTTTAAAAGACACAAAGTAAAAGGCTCTTTCAATGAATGGGTATACCCAGGAAATCTTAAAGACAACTCCTGTTCAATATTAAAAATTTCTTCTATACATACATCTGAAAACTGCAGGAGGGGGTGAATAGAACATTTAAAAGAATGTACATTATGATCTATATCTTTACTTAAAATATCATTTACTTTTTGTTCAGTAGCACTTCTGTCGGTCATAAAACAAGAGACATTGTTTAAAATAGTATCACTGTCACCCTCTTTCTGTGATATATCTATTAAAATATCTTTTGTAATATCTACATATGTCTCCCCCTTTCCATCACAGACCTCTCTTAAACCTGCAGACAGAACTTTGTCACCAGTATTAAACTGAACTCCATAATAATGCTTCCCTTTCTTCGTAGTTGCGTCTCTATGCATTGTGATATTTGCACTGTTCTTAAGTTCTTCATTTAAATGATTTCTCGAAACTACGCCCATTTCACTGGTTAAAATACCTGCCGTACTCTTTGATGGTAGATTTTCTACATTGATATTAAAAACATCTAAAACAGATTTAATAATTGGGGCAATATGTACTAAAGCTATATTCCTACTTCTAAAATTATAATATAAGTTTCTTAATTTAAAATTGTACGGTTTCCCTTTACCATTCTCTCTAAAATCAATATTTTTTTTTATATGTACAACATCATCATCATCATCACAATTACTTTCTTTTTCTGACATTAAAAAATCTATTTCTTTCTTCAAGTCTGCAATAACTGTTTTCATAGTATTGCACTGTACACTTTTATCTTTTTTTTCAACATTTTCTTTTGTCTTCATTTTTTTAATAACATTTTCTAATTTTTTTATTTTTTCTTGGTTTTTTTTTAATTTTCTGTTTGTATTTCTAACATTAAAAGCTCTTATTTTGTCTTTAAGAGCCGTATTCTCTCTTCGTAGGTGTTCAATCACAATATTCTGCTCCGATATAATTTTGAGTTTCTCCTTCAAAAGTTCATCTTCCTTCATTTCTCTCAGTTCCTTTGATGAATCCTCTTTTCTAATTTCCTTACTCTCCTCTTCCTCTCCACTTCCATTACTTATCAATGAGTTTTTGGTTTGGGGTAATTGAAAGATATTGTTTAGGTATGAATTTATTTTGTCTTTGTTGCTGTATTTCTTGAGTTTATCTATTTCCTTCTTTATTCGATTTACTTTGTACAAGAGACTTACTCTGTTAACTTTTGTATATTCAATTTTCAATTCGTCACACACTTCATGGTGTAAGTATTTCATAAAATTTGCACGGTTTTTATGTTTTAAATATATTTCGTAAACACCTAAGTAAGTGAGAACCATGATTATGTGCAAAAAAGTGAGTGTTAACTGAATTTTTACCATGAATGCTGTGCAAAATGAAATGAAAAAAAAAAAATGAAGACAAGCACAAAACAAAGACAATAAACTAAATATACAAGATGAGGACAATAAACTAAACATAAAAGACAAAGACAGTGAACCAAAGAAAATAAAAACAAAAAATGAAATAAAAATATCACACATACATAAAAGCAAATTATGCTAAAAAAAATTGAGATATATTTACCTTTTATGGAAAAATTCAGTCACTGTGTCTCTCGTAATTTCTCAAGTCCTAGAATACGACAAAAAAAAATTTAATATAAGTTTTTAATGAGAAAATCATTTTATCACTTGTAATACTGCTTTATACAGTGGACATTGCTCATACGATATCATTTTCATATCCACAGTTGTGACATCACAATGGTTTTTGCATGAATTTGATCAAGTCAAATATTAAGGATTTACATATATATAATAGAGTATAACGCATAAAAAGCTATGTGTGAAACATGTGATAAAAACAAACTCCCAAGTTTTTTGGTTACATGTGATTTTTTTATCAAACTCATTGTGTGTTTTATCCCCGAGCCTTAAAAAAATCATACCCAACCACAAATCATGAAATATCCTATATGTCCAATTTGCCTTTTTACGTCTTTATATTAATATATGTTTTCCGAAGTCTATAAAGAAATGGACTATATAAAGGGCAGGTAATTTGATTCCCAGAAAATGCCTGTGTTGACCAATCTACCAACTTTCAAAATAATCGTGCAAAAATGTGCAATGTTACAGAAAACATTTTACATTTCAATAAAAATCAATAGCCTTTAAAAATTCATTATAAATGTCTAAATTCATGCTACTTCCTATAAATGCCAAGGAATCATAGAAAATACAAAAGCTACGACCTTTCTTGTGCACATATTTTTGTTGTTCTCAATTGATTTAAAAACAATTAACAGGTTTTAAGAGCTTTCTTGCAAACCAAAAACTATACCCCAACATAAAAACACCTTACGCACCACTGTCATCAACATCAAAGTCCGTCAAGTAATACTTACCTCGATTTATTTCTAGGATCCAAGACCCATCGACAAACGCATGCAGATATGGCTACCAGGTGCCTTCCGGTTGTTACTATTTTAAGATTAAAATGGCGTTAACTGGAATAGCTATTGTATGCGGTTGCCTACTGCCTAATAAAACTTGGATGCCGATCTCGACGATTCAAAATATAATTCCTCGTATGATTCTGTTGTTGCCTTTTTTCAATAAGAGGTTATAAACTGTCTAAATATTTAATTTAATTAGTCAAATTGTCCAACTTCTCACGTAAGAGATGAAGATAAACGAAGCCCACATGCCGATCGCGATGTCAATTAAGAAATGACCATACACTTATTTTCAGGATTTTTGAAGTAAATATTGAATAAAACAGAATTGTTCCAGAGTGTTATAACTTTTTTTGCTTCAAAATGTTTCATTTTAAACACCAATAACATCTATATTACGTGGTTATAACTATCTTTGGGTATAATTATACGAGTGGCGAATTGCAAGGCTACCGCTTGGGATTTCTATTTTTAGAGCGACTCTGAGCACTAGCGACAGTTTTCACTGGTACACCGTGACTAGATCTTCTTTCTCCATATGGCAGCTACTTCTGACCTCATTGCTCTGAAACAAAAAGGTCGTGGTCAAAATCTCTGTTTTTGAAAAGTTAAAATTCAGCGAGCAAGGACACTTGCATTTAAATGTTTGCATTTTAAACAGAAACGAAATAACACCCATCAAATTTCCTGTTTATTTCTGTACACGGTTCAGTTGATTCAAATATACTTTTTGTTCCATAGGTCTTGCTTTATTGAAGTATTTGTACTAAAAACATTCAAAATAACAAAAGAAAATCACCTGTACAAGTAGCAAGTCAACAATCTTGTTCTTCTCAAGATCCATTAGGGTGTAGCTGCCATATTTTACCGAGTGCCCCGGAGTGTCTGCACGGCCATCTCCACCCAAATGAACTGGTTCCCCAGACGCCAACACCTCTGTGATATACGTCTCCTGACTTTCCTTCCACGCGCCATTGTATTCAAAGAGGATAAATGACCATAAAACCTCGTCATATCCATTTATCCTGTATGAATACAATGGGAATATAATACATGCACAATAAACAAAAGCAACTGCATTGTAACAACTCTTATTCTTCTGATCGACCACCTGCCCAAGTAATCCCCCCTCTGCAGGGTAAAAATGAAAATGAATGAAATTAGTTACAGGACCCATCTTTTCAATTACATTTAAGAAATAATGTATCATTTTTAAACATCTATCGGGATATAGATACGGGTAGGTCACGAGATCAAATTCCATAAAGCCCGAAGGGCTTTATGGTAAATTTGATCTCGTACCAACCCGTATTTATATCCCGATAGATGTTTAAAAAATAATACATTATTACTTATATTTACATTTATGACTTATTCATATTTTATATTTTCCTGATTATAATCTTTAACGCGTGAAATGTTTTATTTATCAAACTTAAAGGCACGTATTTGATCCATTGTTTGCGCGTCGACCCTTTATGGCGTCACTGAGAAATTACGTCGAACGTTTATGAAGCGAGGAACCCGTGTTTGTACAAATATAGATATGCGTTGCTTTTAATAGTGTTATATGAAAAAAACATTTGCAAAATGTAAATATATGGAGATAAAAAAAAACAGTATTTAAGCTCAAACGTCCATTCAAACATTACAAATCAGGAGCAGAGCAAACATGGACCTCAAAAACATCAGAGGCTGGATTAGGTGCCACGGAGGAGTGAGCACGGTCACACCCATCGTGTGCTCATTGTCATGATCGGGCAAAAGAAATCCATAGACAATTCAGTGTTTAAAAAATGGCCTAACACTTAGTATGAAAAACGTCAGTTAGCATTCGACTTAATGATAGATTGTATTTTTTGACAAAGTTATTGCATCGACCATAGAGCTTGCTAAATAATGACTTTAAACGAGACTATTGAGCTTCCTCGTTTTAGATATTATTCGTACGTGGAGTATGCTCTTGCGTATCGAATCAACTGAGAGATATAAAGCCCATATGCCGGTGATAAAGGCATATTGCTTCATAAGAAAGTGGGATGGATGATAGTAAAGTTGAAGTCATGATGTTTATCATAAAGCTTAGTTGTTAGGCTACCATTAACGTCTTTTTCTAGTAAAATATCCAAATATGAAACATATCAGATGTGTCAGAATATAGTATCTTTTATTTTAAGTTCACTGGGATATATCAAG